CCTGCTTTGTTTTGTTAACACTTGTGCACTGGATAGTGATTTATTCGGTGGATAGCGCTATCCACTTTTCGAACAACCAGGGCCAGAAGTTACTAATGGTGTACATTTTTGCAGACTTAATAACCACACACTTAGCTTGCAGTCTGCAATGCACCAGTCGATGCCTCAATTGAACACAAATCATCAGAAGTTGCTTATTAATTTTATCCCTATTTCAGAGGTATAGCTACATGTATGGCAATAGTATTATCTTACCTCGAGGGCTTGCCAGCCTTTATATCTTTGATATCATCCTAAGGTAGGTGTGGCTGCTCTGATTTGTCCATTCATTTCTCTCAAAGGCGATGTCATGAAAGGAACTTGGTCAGCTTCATTGCACTGGTACAGTCATGTAGTATTATGGGCAAGGAACTTTGGAAATGCAGACATCTTGGACAACTGTATATGTTGCGCTAAAGAGTAATTAAGGAAAGAGTCCAGACATTTTAACTGTCAAGTTTTTCGGGACAGGTAGATCTAACTTTCTGTAATCACTAGAAACTTGTAACCTCTATACTCTATACAGGGGTGAATATATGGTTACATCTTCATGCATCAGCAGTCTTGTTCTCCTCGAGTCTGGTGTGGGGTTCCAAACCAGTAAATCATCCTTGGGGGTACAGATAATTCCTGGAAAAACGCATTGGCTTAGAAATACTTATTGTTTAAGTATAGACAAAAGACAGCAATGTATGAATTTATTGAAGTTACCTCTATGTCCCTGGCTGTAATTATATCCTGCTGTCCAGCATGGTTTGGCTCAGTAATAGTGATTTTGAATCCATAAGGTTTCTTCTCCAATATGAGTGTACTGTGTAGAATCCATAAAGCTGCTTGTCCGTATAGCCTCCTATGTGTGGGGTGGAGAATCATTGAGGCTGCTTGTCCACTAAGACTCCTATATGTAGGGTGCTAAGAACCCACGAGGTAGGTTTTCCAATATAATCTCCGTATATTACATGTAGATGAAAATCCCAAGGCTGCTTGTCGAGCGTGCTAGACTGCTCTACACGGGAATTGTAACCCTCAATATCTCTGCAGCTGGCTGTCCAACCTGACTGCTCACTTTGGGTGTAATCATGCAGGCCCACTGTGACGTTTCTGCCGCACTCAGTACTGGGCACTAGAGAAAAGGAACTTTGTAGCACTTGATCATTCACTGGTATTCTAGTATGATTCTAATTACATTTTATAGAGGGTTTTTTGCAATTTAGTCTCTAAAGTAATCAGGCCATTACTTTGGTTTTGGTTTAGCTATGGTTTGAAACGGGCTAAGTGGTCTCATTGGTTAATGATTGGTTTGGTTCTGGGTTTACGACGCTCAATTGAAAATTACTCTATTGTGAATTGGACTTCAATCTCATTGAAGACTGAATTTTTAGACAATGATCTCTTATTTCCTGGAATCCTCCTATACTTACGTACAGGTTGCATTTTAATGCCTTTTAGTAAATTTTTATATTAAAATGAGTTGATTCGTTAAAGTTTCTTCTACTTAGATTCAGAAACTTATTTTATTTTAACTTAAGTCTCCATTTTCTTCAAAGAAGCAAATAATCTGTAGAGGTCTTGAAAACCCACAAGTCACATAATGTTGGAATCCTTCCTTACCTTTCTTCATTTACCATCAGTAAAGTTCAAAATTAATGCTTTTCCTTTACCACATCAGAATTTATTTTACTCTCATACAAGCATGTCAATTTCTAGTTTCTCAGCAGAAAGGAAATGAAGTTGTAGTCCATTCTTCACCCCTCAATGGCCATTACAAACTGGTCGCAAGTTTGCATCTCATCAACGTCTGAATTCTAAAGGATTCTTCCTTTCAAAATAATTTTGCTAAATGTTATTTTTTAAGTTGCAAAATGTTAATCCTTTACTGCATTGATATTTCTTAAGCTGAAAAATATTTTGTCTTAGTGGCCATTGGTTTGAATCCCACCAAGACCTAAAATTTAAAGGCTTTATACTCATTTGATATTTCTAAGTTGAAAAATATTTTGTCTTGGAGGTCATGGGTTTGAATCCCATCAAAGCCAGAATTTTGTACACTTTCTAC